CCTGGTGGGAATTCAATTAGCAGAGGAGTCAATGGTCCAAGTTTTTGGCTAGGTTACCCCTCTAACATGGGAGAGCTTGAGCTAGTCTAGTCGCACACAGATTGATCGTGTTATGAATTATAGCCCATGGACTCAGTCAAAAGAAATAAAGAAGTGACAAGGAGGGAAATTACTTGATCATGCATATTTAAATATTTTATTTTGATCTAATATTAATAGTGACTACTTTATATGCCTTAATGCTTATGCTTGTATAAGTTAAAAGTTAGGATTTCTTGATTACTAAGATATTTATCTCACCTCTTAAAATTTTTAGGTAACGCTTCAAGTAATGGCAAAGGAAAGGATCTGGAGGCTTAAAGCTAAATTGCATCCTGTATAGCCTCATTTACCTTTGTGTAGAAGGATATATATATATATATATATATATCTATTACTGACTTAGGGACATATTATGCATATATGATTGTAATTGATTTTATGATTATGATTGTTGTTTGCCTAGCATTTTTGTGAAGCAAACTCATGAGAGTTTGTATTTGGGCTAGTGAATTTATTATAGATTAATTATTATACTGAGATATTGTTGAATATTGGTTGTCTAGCCGTTTTTGTTAATTCAAGTCTTATGGACTTGTAATATGGCTAGCAAAATTGGACTGACACTTATGTATGATGTTGGTGATGATGTTCATGATTAAACTGTGGTTTGAAATATGCCTTTTGACTTCCATGATTGCTTGGTTGAATTGTTGAGCTGGGAAGACAATTGTAGTGTGAATGTTTGGCTCTGTGAAAGAACCAATTTGTCTGTATGCTATGGTATAACCCTCATTAATAGGTTATATCTTGCTTCCGTTTGCTAATAACTCTGTTATTGTGCATTTTTGAGCTTAGTGGTTTTGAAATTTTTTTTATTGAGGTCTTATTTTCAAATAGTTTTCTTGGTCTATATTTTTAATAATTATGGTTAAACATATTCTATCATAGTAATGGTTAATTAGAGACATTATCCATTATTACCATGGTCGTAAGGTTTAATTAGTAGGTAAATTTTTTGTAGGTAATACATCCTACATAGCCTTTAAGTAACGAAGCACATAGTCTTCCAATTCCATGTGTATCTTCACAGGAGAATAAGAGAATTGACTCAACATTGTAGCTACAAAGGCAACGCTAGGCTGCGTGATAGTAAGGTACACGAGTCGGCCAATGAGATGCCTATAACATTTTGGATCAGTCCCAATATCATTATCATCTGCAATTAGTTTGGCATTTTGCTTGATGGGAAAGCGACTTGGCCGATAGTCGAGCATCCCGATGTCTTTTAAGATATTCAAGGTGTATTTTCATTGACCGAGAACAAATCCAGTGGGCGATCGAGCAACTTTAATCTTTAAAAAATATTTGAGTAGCCCCATATCTTTAATGCTAAAGTGAAGATCATGTAAATGATTCTTGACAGAGGATAAATGAGAATCATTGCTGCTAGCAAGTAGCACATCATCAATGTAAATAAGTGCATGTGTAGTTATCAATCTATGAGTATTACTAATAAGTGAGTAGTCTGCTTTGGATGGTCAAAAAAGGGCGCTAAGTGAGCTAGTAAACTTCTCATACCAATTATGTAAAGCTTGACGTAACCCATGAAAAGGACTTGCACAGACGACAAACACATGTATCCCCTTCTTTTTGAAAGCCTTAAGGTATTTTCATGTTGTGCAAATCTCCATGTAAGAATGCAATATTCACATCAAGCTGATGTACTGCCTATTGTCTTTTAGTTGCCACTATTAGTAGAGTTCATACGGTCACCATCTTTACGACGAGAGCAAAAGTTTTGTGGAAGTCAATTCCTTCTTGCTGAGTGTACCCCTTGGCGACGTGCCTGGCCTTATATTTTTCAATTTTACCATGTGGTTTATATATGGTCTTATAGACCCATTTTGAATCAATTGCTCGTTTTCCTAGTAGTAGGTGTTCAAGTGTCCAGGTGCCATTTCACTTAAGTGCTTGAATATCCTTTTACATTGCTTTACGCCAATGCTTTGCTTGGCCAAATGTCCTAGGCTCATCATGTGTGGTCATGGCTGTAAAAAATGCTTTGTGTGAGGGAGAAAATCAACCATAGGAAATATAATTTACGATGGGATATGGTGAGTTACCTAAATGAGATGGCACAGCAGTATGTGGTAAAGTCATAGAGTAACAGAGTAAGGCAAATCCACATCAAAATCATCCAGCCATATTGATGGTTGTCGTTGTTGTTGCTTTTGTGGGTATCACTGGTTAGGCCAGATGGTGGTGGTCGTGTCAAAGATGGTTCGGGGTACCCTCTTTGCTTCATTCGAAGAAAACTCAAGTTGATTATAAAGCCCATGTTTAGTTTTTGAGCCTTGAATAAGTAGCGATGTATTGAAAGGCCCAATAGGGATGTGTTCATTACCTTTAATTACATCCAGCCTATAGACCCACCAAGGACTAGTGCCTCATGATTAGATATGTAGGCATATGGGAAAGACTGTTTAAAGAAAATCACGTCTTGAGAAGTGAATATCTCTCTACTGGAGAGATTAAAGAGCTTATAACCCTTTTGTTCGCGTGGATAGCCAACAAACACACACTTCCTCCCCTTTTTATCAAACTTGTCCATCGTAAGCCAAGTGGCCAAACGCTTGCAAATGTGTATAGTTAGGTTTCTTCAACTTAAGGATCTCAAATGGTGTACGATGTAAGATAGCACGAGAAGGTAGGCGATTAATGAGATATGCAGCAGCGAGAACACACTCTCCCTAAACTTGAGTGGTAAGTTGACATATATCGGTGTCTTCATTCCACCACCCCCTTTTTTTTAGGTGTATACAAGCAGGTCGTTTCGAACAAAATTCCTTTCTTCATAAAGCAATCCATCACTTGTCTAGATTAGAACTCCATGCCATTATCTGTGCATATTCTATGGACTTAGGAGTTGAATTATGTTTCCACCATGTTAAGGAACATAGGTAAATGTCTTGCAACATCTGATTTATGCTTCATCAAATAGACCTATATGCTTGTGCTATTATCATCAATGGTAGTTAAAAAATATTGTGCTCCTGAAAGAGATGAAGTGTTGTAACCACCCCAAACATCACAATGAATCACCTCAAAACAAGAAGTAGATTTTATTAAACTTTTAAGAAAAGGCAATCTGGTTTGGTTGGCCTTAAGACATGAAATACACTAAGCCAGACTCTCATTCTAATCAATATTCAAGGAAAAGCCTAAACTTTTAATCTTCTTTGCTGGTGGATGTCCAACCCTCCAGTGCCACAAGGTTGAGTATGTGGATCTTTTGACATTCATCACCACACTCTTCACCCCAAAAACTCCATCACATATAGTCCACCATATCACTTAGCTACTCTAATTAGGTTGCTCGAGTGTAAGTCTTGTATGATTCCCATGGCAGTAACAAAGGTTACTAGGCATATATAAGGTCGTCTACTAATAGACTAACAGATATCAAGTTGCACTAAATTCAAGAATATATATATATATATATATAATATTCATTTCAACTATAAATTATTATGTAAAGTGATCTTCTCTGTGCTCTTGACTGAGATACTTTGACCATTTGGAATGTCCATAGAAAGTTGATGTACAGTTTCTTTTTTGTCTTGTAACAAGTCTCTGTTGCACGCTATGTTTTCTATTACTCCTGAATTAAGTATCCAAAGAGTGTTCGATTGCATATTACCTGCAATATTGGCGAATGGTGGTGTTGTATACTTTTCTCTCTGTGTTGTATACTTTTCTCCCTCAACATTCAAATAGCTGAGAAGACGATGATACTGCTCAGGCATGAGATCGTGTACGGGACTTTCACTAACTATGACTTGTGTAGCTCTTGGATTATTCTTACCACCGTGATTCCTTTCTTTACGTTCACAACCTCCTTTTGGCCAGTCTACTAGATATCTTATGATCTCATAGCATTGGTCTTCAGTATGACCAAGCTTTTAGTAGTGCCCACACTTTAGTCTCTCCCTTCTTGATCCACGATGTTCCGTGTCTCTTTCACCACGTCCCGCCTGACTCAAGAATGCAACTGCTTCAGGTATGAGTTCTATCATAGCGGAACTCTATTGTTGTTGCTCATCCTCCAATACCAAGTTGTATGGCCGTTCGAGTTCGGGTAAGGGCTTAATGCTGAGGATTTGAGTCTTGATAGTGTTGAAGTTCTCATCAAGACCTATAAGAAAGTCATAAAGCTGCTGTCGCTCGTTCAATTCCATGAGTTGTTTTTCAATCCCACGTGTGCATTTCCCACACATATATTTCAGCCATGGTGTGATCGTTGTAGCCTCATCCTATAAACTTTTAAGTTTCACGTAAAAAGCAGGCATTGAGAGCTTTTCTTGTCTTGATAAAACTACTGTTTGTTGTAATTCATATGCTCTGGGTGCACTGCCTTTTACAAACCTTTCTTCAAGGTCAGACTAAACTTCGTATGTGATCTTTTCATATCTAACGCTTATTCACACATCCTTATCCACAGTGCTCTTCAGCAATCGCTTTACTATAGCGTTACACCTTATCCAAGAACCAAGATGAGAAGAATCAGCAGCAAGTATCGGTGTACTTCCATTAACAAAGCTAACCTTGTTCTTTACAAGCAACACGTTATTATGTCACTCATCCACTCCGTATAGTTCCTTTCATTCAACAAATCACTCACATAAACCTAACCTGGATTATCTGAGGGATGGACGTAGTAGGGTAATGAAGTATCAACTATGGTTTTCTGCTGTCCAGAAGCATCTTTTTTAAGTCTGACATGTTGTTCTGCAACGTGATTGATCTTTGTACAAAATTGTTGATAAGCATCTCTGCTCTAGTACCATAAAGAAAATAGAGGTTTTTCTTATATTCACAAGCTATAACAGTACATACTGATTTATATACAAGAAGACGTAAAAGCGAATAACCTTAGTATCTCCTAGTATCACGTATGATATCATAATCTTCTATAATCTGTGATTTCCTATCTGTTAGTATGTTAACTATATAACCATCATATCTATACACGATTGCATCAGTCCAATGAACTTAAGTTGAAAGGCCCAAGTCCATATAAACTTCTATACACGAGTTGAGATCTGGGCAAGACGCATGAAGAACAACCTGAGTTAAGACCCACGACGAAGACTAGCATGATGCATAGCAAAGACGTGGCTGGGTGGCTAACAGATGTAAATCATAATAGTGGTTGGGTAGCATTGGATAAATGGCAGAGTCGTACAGTTGAGATCTAGTTCCTATAGATCTGGCATAGTCGCAACTGGATCTTTAGACGGACAAAACATGAAGTAACAGCAGACCATCGGCTGCGTCGTCGACGGTGTATGAACTTGAGCAGTATGATGAGCAAGAAGGTGGGCTTTTAATCATTCCAAAAAAGGTGTGTTCTTATGGCTTTCCTCTTAATCATTTTGTTATGTTCTTTTGAGCAAAATAAAGGTAGGCATTTAAAAATGTCTACACAATAAAAAAGAGTGTGTGTTCTAAGATTCCTGTGTAAGCATTCTCATCATGTTGGCAAGTTGAGATCCTCTCTAGAGAGCCCTGTTTGTAATATGAGATTGTACTTTTGAGTGAATTTAAATTGAATTTTTTTTCTTGTCTACTTGCTTACTGTAGGAACTGGACGAGATGAAGAAGAGATTGAAGGAAATGGAAGAGGAACCCACGGCTTTTTGTGAAATGCAGGCGAGGGCCGAGAAGGAGACAGGTGCAGTTCAAGGCCTTTCTTACTCTTTTCTTGTCTCTCTCTAATCATACTTTTTTTCTTTCCTTTATTAAGGTATTTAAAAGCATAAACTTATACGCTGACATGACATGCCATGACCTTTTTATTAAAAAAAGGGGGGTGCATTAACTTGATTCTCCAGACCTCCCTCATGAAGATTCTAGTATCCTTTTTTTTTAGGATTTTTAGTTAAGGTAGATGTAACAATTTTGACTGGGACAAGATAAGTTGGTTTGAATGTGGAATTATACAAAATTATTATCTCATAAGGTAATTTTAGGATTTACTAATGAATTATAAATTGAGACGTTTCGTCCTAGGTAGATATTATCCCATCATACTTTCATATTGTTGATTTGTTGTTAAGACATCTTTTTCAGGTTGCCTGTAAGTAGACTTATTATGGAATAAAATAGCACCATAGTATTATTTTTAGATTGTGTTGATTGGGGGGATGAGGGGAGGGGAGAGGAGGAAAAATAATTATATATGAATAATTTTTATCTTTATTTTATTAGTATTGAGATATTGGAGAAGTGTATTTATATTTTTTGAACTTATCATGAAGAATATATCAATCAAGATATGAAAAATTTTACCCCTCTCCTCCCAATACGCCAATCTAGAAAGGAGGGGAGGGGATTTAAAATTTTCCTCTCCTCTACTCTAATTTTTCAAATCAAATAAGGGAATGAGGGCAAAATCTTTTCTCTCCCCTCTTTTCCAACAAAACAGTTCCTTAATTACTTGACAACATAAGAAAACTCATGGGTCTTTAGCTTGAAAACTTCATTATTTTTGCAGTTTGCAAACATCTTGGACATCATCCAGTGGTTAATATGTCCAAGGAAGGTAACAATCTTGCTTAGCTGCTGTCACCCAGATCCAAAAAGACAAATTCCTACTGTTCTTATTCTTATCTATGCATATTTGGTAGAGCAGTTAATGCAGGATTTAACTCCAGGGGTACATTGTTGGCCAAAGAAAAAAGAAAAACAAACAAGCAAACTACAGGGGTCGAATTACTTTTTTGGAAGGAGAGCTAGTTTATTTTTAGATTTTTATGTGAATATTGAAGCTAGTTTATCTTTCTATGTTTTGTGCAACAAGGATTATTTAACATTGATTGACTTAATTTTTATGTCCAAGAAAAGCCAATTGTATTTGCTTTATCACAATTTGCATTTGGATTGCATAGTTACTTTTATGTTGTTGCTTAAATAAATGCATTTGTTTGGATTAAAAGTAATTTGAGCTTTTTTTTGGATTAAAATAAGGGGCATTTTTACCTCCAATCCAAAAAAAAAATGCACACACACACACACACATATATTGTCACATCGGAAAATGCAATCTGGACAGCGTACGAGAGTAGAGATTTTGGCCTTTAGAGCAAAAACTGACGGAATGGGAGTCACCATTAAAATTTTGAGAAAAATATTGAAAAGCCGTTTAAGGGAGAAAAGGATAGTCTGTAAAATTAAAAAATAAATTCGGGAGTCAATTAAATGTAAGGAAGGTGTTAAGCACCCCATAACACCCGTTCGTAAGAACAATTACCTGAAATTTGTTGTGCTAAAATAATATAGTTTTAAAGTCATTTTAATTGTCCCTTTCTTATTCATGTGTTTGATATAAAAATGATAATAATTAAGTAAAAAATATTTATTTATTTATTTATTTATTTACAACAGAGGACTTGACTCAGAATTAGATTCTGAGACCTACGTACCATGCAATAGGGATCAAAGTCCACATAATTCAGGATTAAAACTTGTTGATAAAAATATTTTTTAAAGAAAAATTAATTAAAAATAATTCACCATTTTACAAATAAAATAATTTTCTAAAATTTTAATATGTGTGTTTTAAATAGCAAAAAATAATTTAATTTCAATTATTTTTTTAATTTTTAAATTTTTGGAATAAAGAAAAGAAAAGAGTTTAATTTTTTTTTATTTCATGATTGGAGATTTAACCGCTATATTTGTAAAATCTTATTAGCTCATACGATAATGTAATTATTCTTAATATCTACAGAGATTTTAAAATCTCACACAATAAAAGAGCTTAACAACTTAATTTATTTATTTATATGCTTATATATTAATAATAATTTCTTTAGGTGTGTGTATATATATATATTTTTAAAGAATCTCAATCGTCATACCTATAAAATCTTATTAATTTATACGGTAATATGATTATTTTAAGTATCTGCAAAAATTTAAAAGTCCTCACACAATAAAGGAATAATATATATATATATATATATATATTAAATATACTTTAATGCATAATTATACAATTTACATTTTTAAATATAAAAATCGTAATCGCTATACCTGTAAATTTTTATTGACTTGCATAGTAAGATAATTATTCTAGAGGTCTATGAAAATTCAAAAATCTCACATGACCTAAAGATTTAATGGTTATTATGCAAATACATTAATTTAATTAATTAATTTTATTAAAAAATGTCTATTATATTATTTATAAAAATTATTTATTTATTTATTCACTATATACAAATTGATAATCACATCATCTGTGAGGATTTATTATCCCACATGATAATACACTTAATTTAATCTTCTATAAAAATTCTTGAAATCTCACATCAAATTTAAATATTTTATTAATTTAAATTATAAAAAGAGGGTTAATTTTAATGATGAGCCTTTGAAATTCATATTAATGTATAAGTTTGATCTTCACACTTCCAAAATCTTATTGATTTACATGGTAGATCATCATTTTAAATGTCTATGAAAATTCTTAAAATCTCACACGATAAATAAGTAATAAACAAATATATACTCTCTTATTTTTATTGGATTTCAATTACAAAATTCAAATTCATCAAAAAAATGGAACTCCCTTCCAATGGTGGTATAATGAGCATGCAAATAAATAAAGAAGGTAGAGAATCACATTGAAATGTTACAAATAGATAAAGGGCTTCTATTAATATAAAGATTAAAGCCAAACTATCACATACTTACATGCCCTTTCATGCTAAAAGCATATTTAAAGTCCAATTCAAACACCCAACCTAACAATCACAACAATTTTTCTTTTCTGTTTAAGACAAAACCATGGCAAGAACATATCAAAAAATTGACAAATTATGGCCAAAAACATAAAATGTTATTATGAGTCCCTCTTTTTAAACAAATATCACATCAATTTCTTCACTGTCCTTGGCCAAAACATGATAAGAATATGCCAACAATCAATTTGAATTAATTAGTACAATAGGCAATATCTTTATTTGAAATCTCTTTTCTTTTAAGAACAAACACAGCAATTTCTTCACTATTTTAGAGCCAAAAAATTGTGAGAGTACAATGCCTAAACCAGATCATTAAAAAAAATCTATTTGTTTGTTAATTGGCTTTAATCATAAATATTAAGCAGTGCATGAATCTGAACAAAGTAATAAATTTGCTTGCACATAGTCCTCCATTCTTTAAACTCCGCCTATGTTTATAGCCGGTCCCAAGCCCGGGTAAAGGAGGAGGGTTGTGTTAGGCCATCAACAGCCAATGTAAAAATTTGTTGAATCTATCATGAACATGGACAATAGACGTTATAATGTTAATGCTAGGTCGTTGCCCGTAAGTAACGCGCTGCATGGCTCGAGTACAGTGATAAGTGAGTTAGAGCCGCTGCATCGGCGCCCAGATGTAGTGTTAAATGAGCAAGGGCTACCGCGTCATTCTGGACGCACGCGGCTAAAGAAGTTAGTCCATAAGAGCAAAATTAGATTTGGTACTTGGAATGTTGGGACATTAAATTGTAAATCTGTAGAGGTTGTAGGGGTTATGATTCAAAGGAAAATCAATATCCTTTGCTTGCAAGAAACAAAATGGCGTGGAGAAGGAGCTAAGGATATTCAAGGTTTCAAACTTTGGTATACAGGAAAAGTAAGTGCACGCAATGGAGTAGGCATCATTATAGATAATGAGTGGAAGAAGAACGTTGTAGAAGTTAGCAGAATTGGAGACAGAATTATTTCTTTAAAAATGATAATTGGACGTGAGACTGTTAATATTGTTAGCGCTTATGCGCCGCAAGTCGGGACAGAAGCCAGTCTTAAGGAATTATTTTGGGAGGATCTGGAGGGGTTGATTCGACACATACCACAGAGTGAAAAGATTTTTATTGGAGGAGACTTTAATGGGCATGTCGGGAGGGAAGCTGGTCAGTATGCGAGGGTGCATGGTGGTTTTGGTTTTGGAGAGCAAAACAATGAAGGGCAAACTCTTCTTGATTTCTCATTGGCGTATGATTTTAAGATTGCCAACACTTGTTTCAAGAAGAGAGATGAGCATCTCATCACTTACAAAAGTGGAGCCTCAAGGTCGCAGATTGATTTTCTTTTGGTTAGGAACACAGATAGAAAACTTTGTAAAAATTGTAAGGTGATCCCTGGAGATGCTGTAACGACACAACATAGGGTCCTAGTCCTTGATGTGTGTATTATGAGTAAAATCCAAAAACGTCGACAAGTAGTAACACCAAAGATTAGGTGGTGGCAATTAAAAGGTGAGAAGCAAGATATTTTCAAGCGAAATCTTTTGGATAAAGGAATTTGGGATTCTCAGGGAAGTGCTAACATCATATGGGAGGATATGGCTAAAAAGATACGGGAGGTTGCAAAAGTAGTTTTGGGAGAATCGAAAGGTTCTGGTCCGAGAGATAAGGAGTCTTGGTGGTGGAATAATAGTGTACAGGACAAAATCAAGTATAAGAAGAACTGTTTTAAAGCCATACATTTGTGTAACAATGAAGAAAATTGGAAGAGGTACCGTATGGCTAAGAAGGAAACTAAGAGAGCTGTGGGTGAAGCTCGTTCCAAAGCTTTTGAAGAATTTTATAAGAACCTTGAGACGAAGGAAGGAGAGCAAAATATTTATAAGATTGCCAAGAGTAGGGACAGAAAATCAAGAGATCTAGAACAGGTAAGGTGTATTAAGGATGAAGAGGGAAGAATTTTAGTTACAGATGATGAAATTAAAAATAGATGGGAGACTTATTTTTCTAAACTTTTCAATGATGGAGAGGATTCATCTAGTAACTTGGAGGATTTAGTAACTGGTGAAGGAGAACAAAATTTGTCATTCTATCGAAAAATACGTGATAAGGAGGTAAAGGAAGCTCTTAAGAAAATGGCAAATGGTAGAGCTAACGGACCTGATTGTATATCTATCGAAGCGTGGAAATGTTTAGGTGAAGAAGGGGTGAGATGGTTAACTAAGTTATTTAATGTGATTTTACGGTCCAAGAAAATGCCTGATGAGTGGAGGAGAAGTACATTAATTCCTATTTATAAAAATAAAGGAGATATTCAGAATTGTACTAACTATAGAGGGATTAAACTCATGAGCCACACAATGAAATTGTGGGAGAAAGTAATTGAGCACAGGTTGAGATTGGAGACAAGTATTTCTGAGAATCAATTTGGTTTTATGCCAGGTAGATCAACTACAGAGGCGATTTATCTACTAAGGGGATTAATGGAAAAGTATCGTTGTAAAGATAAAGATCTACACATGGTTTTTATTGATTTGGAAAAAGCTTATGACCGTATACCAAGAGAAGTGCTTTGGAAAGCGTTGGAAAAAAGGGAGTACGGATTGCTTATATTAAAGCCATACAAGATATGTATGAGGGGGTAAAAACTAGTATAAGAACGCCTAGTGGTCAAACAAAGGATTTTCCTATAAAGATTGGACTACATCAGGGATCATCTCTGAGTCCTTATTTGTTCAACTTGATTTTAAATGTTTTGACGGAACATATTCAAGAGGAAATCCCGAAATGTATGCTCTTCGCGGATGATATAGTTCTTATAGCAGAGACAAGAGAAGAGGTTAATTGCAAACTTGAGTTATGGAGGAGGACATTGGAGTCGAAAGGTTTTCGTCTGAGTAGAAGTAAGACGGAATATTTATATTGTAAATTTGGTAAAGGACTATTCGAAAATAATTTGGAAGTGAAATTGGGAGATCAAATTATACCTCAAGTGGAAAAGTTTAGATATTTGGGAGCCATTATTCAAAATGATGGCGAAATCAGT